AGATTAAGATTTTTTCTGATACGCAGCTAAATACTACGCTGGAATATCAAATAATTTAAAAGTGATTGAATATGCAATGTAAGAATTGTGCTAACATACAGTTTATTAAATATACAGTAGGACGATAGCATACCAAGTCAAAGAGTTTTACTAGCTGCAGGTACACGGAGTCGCGTAGAGATTTGCCGTGTTGAGACTGCCGTGAATAGTCATAGAAGACAACCCTCCACAGCAACACAGGGCCTGGGTCCCAAACGACACCAGGGCGCCACAGTTGCCGGAGTAGCACTGTGCGCCTGTTGGGCACGGGATGGACCTTTCCAAACCAGTCGACTTCTCGTTGTCACGTCTTACATGGATCACGTTGGCTGGAACAGAGCCAAATGGTTATTATTGGCACCATGATAATGTCTAGAATAGTTCATTCGTACTTCAATAGTTCATACTATTATTAGTTACGACTAAGCTCGCGGCCATGTGACTAGTATGATTTTACAAGCTCTGACTTGATCTTGTTCTATCGTACTATCGTCTGTTGTGCCGTTAGACCTGGGTGCCAGACCTGACAGGAATAGGGAAGGGTAGGCCGCACAAACCCTACATACACCAGTACTAAATCAAATATTTTTAGACCGTGTTTCTTCAGACACCTGATTTGCATGATTACTCCCAGGACTTGGCTACATGACTGTACTACTTCAAGTTCAGCTGTTTTAGCAAAACGTCTCGGTATCGGCGGTGGGGTTAACAGATAACCAATACCTTATATTTGATTGGGTTACATTGCAAATAGGCAGAGACCTACACACGTATTTGAAAACACCGTAGAATTAACCAATAGTATTTTTATTTATTTCGCTACTCACCGCGGCTTTTATGGACAAACACATAGGAGAGATGGATTAAATATATTATATTTAGGTACGACCGACAAGGCAAGTTAAAGTCGATAGAACAGCAGTAACTTTCTCCAAAAGGTCCTTCGCTCACACATGATGTTAGAATGACACAGCTTTACAAAGGGGAAGACAAGATATGACAGAGGATACATTAGTCTTAATACAATGAGTAAGGCTACACATTGCAAGACATTGAAACGTTTAAAGTAAGAGTCCCTACCCTCAGCAACTACCAGCCCCAGCACAACGAGCAGGATGGCGGTCTTCATGATGAGAGTTCGTCGGTGAGAGAAGAGAGAGAACTTGTACGTGTAGCTTGTCTTCAGATGTCTGTGACTCAGTCCAGCTACGGTCGTCTTTTATGTCGTTCTGATGTTTACAGTTTGGTGAGGAAAACGACCGTGGAGCTCGGACAGGTGTAGATTCTATTTTAAAGCAAGGTCTTTTCCGCAGTTCCTAGAGGCTGAGTATCCAAATTTCCTGTGTGACCGCTCGAACTTTATATCTTTGTGATACGGATAGAAAAGGATTGATATGTTCTTGTAAACCACCTACAAGTAGTGTTATCGGCATAGCAAGAAAAGAAGTCATTGCGTATTTTCATAACAGTATGAACATGACATGGTAAAACATAACTTGGTAAAACATGAGATGACTTGGTAAAACATGACAGTGACTTTTATTACGCAACAATGTACAATGTACAAAGTATGGCAGAAATGAGAGAACAAATCTAACAAATCAGTCTACGTAGTACAATACTAGGTGATATGGGATGAAAATGCGCTTATACAATCATTAAAAGAATTTCTTACGTTTAGACATTCTTTAAAATACTGTCCTATATCCACAATGTATGGATTGTCAAAAGTCAACAAGTATCGGAATTTGCTAGATGAATTCATGGCGAGAAAGTCTGGTATAGAAGTTGATATAGTTGCATATAATGAATTACGTATATCAGAATATTTGGGACATGACATGGTTAAACATGACCCTACTGCAATTTAAAAACTCCCTACTTCCATAAGAGAGTCTTCTAACCTTTTTTTGCTGAGTAAGCCCTAATCACACCATGTATCTCCTTATAATAGATCTTGTCAGCAAATTGGTGATTGTTAACAACAACAGCAACGTTATAAATGCGTATGAGGACTGGCACAAACGTAATATGTCTGTGTCCTATTTTTTTTTCTAAATGGATTGTAACATTTTTCAACGCAACGTAACGCACACACACACAAACACGGAGCAAACGTATACACAACACACACACAAACACATGCACAGCACACACAAACACACACAGATTCACAGGCACGATGACAACACTTTTGGCAATCCACGGGGTCTACCACAGCCATTCACCCGACAATACCCGTTTAAACTAAACCTCACCCGGTCACCTGTACTGCTGAAGTAAACGTGTGATAAGAACGTTCCAGGAATCAGATGTTTTTACCGGCAGTGAATGTTTGCATAAATACAGAACGGCCTTGATTATTCATGATATAAATGTACCTAGTACATAAAGTTTGCAAACAGCCCTTTCCGGAAACCTTTCAATTAGTCATTATATCGATGTATGTAGGGTTACAAACATCAGATTACCTAGAATTTTCTGTTCACAATGTCGAGGTTGTTGTATGTCAAGAGAATCATATCTCCAATTTATTAATTTTACATTTGCTTGTTGGAAGTCTATATTCCATTTTAATCGATTAGAACTGCATAATATTTTAAAGGAAGTACTAGTATATACGTAAGGTTATCAACTAGACAATATGTTATACCCTCCGGTGTATCACACCAGCTTCGCAAGCAGGAGTAAGCAGCTTTCTATATTATACCAAACAACATGTTACACCTAACCTTTGCACATGCAACTACCTGTAAACGTTATGAAAGCCATTAATGATGATAGCCTAGTTGTATTTGATGGGAATAAATTATCACTGAAACAACATTGAAAAATACTTTTTCAATCATTGTACAAATGGTTTTGATTCAGTGAGAACATTACATATCCATAGGCATCATTACATATAAAAAGAATGAAATACACCAATGCATCAAAGTAAAAGACAAAACATTAAACCACCGCCTTGTCTTCTCTGTTGATATTTATCCACCATCCACCTCGCGCGCGGCATAGCAACAGCCATCTTTGCCCATTTTCCACATATTGACCAATGTTAGGGGGCAACAAAATTTCTTTTTTTTTTCCAAATTCAGGCAAAAATTCATGCGCGTGCTGATATCAACCATAAAAAAAATTATTACTGTGACCGTACATATCCACCCACATTCTGTCACATCGCCACGTTTGCTAATAACCTGTTGGTCTCTGCAGGTCAATTATTTGAATAATCATTAACTCTTACTGCAAATGTCCTTAGCTCAGTAAGTATGCAGAGTGTTTGAGCTCTGAAGAGTAGTAGATAGTAGTAGGCTGCATACGTGTTTTGACTCGATTACAAACATCTGACGGGTTCCTCTAAACATCTTGATTTCAGTTTAATGTTCAACAGGATTTTTTCCACATAAGTCAATTTATAAAATAATAATTTCTAGATGAAGACCATTGTTGACAAAGGAGTTGTGTTGAAACGCCAGATATTTACATTACTAAATGTTGGCTGCTACACACGAATAGATTTGCTGTGGAGAGAAACTTCATACATTCATATAATTACACCAAAATCTAACTTACATGCACGGCCGGAATAATGGCGTTTCATATGTTGATGATTAGCCATTCTGCTATATGTACTGAGACGTATTCATATACATATAGTATCAGTTTACTTCTTTTGAAATGTAATATATAACTTCTAGAGAGTTACATCCACTGTAAAATAATATCTCATGTAGATTATGCTTCCAACAACGATATGTAATGTGGTTGACAATAATTCTTTTGACATACGACAGCCTCGATTAACTCCATATTACCCACGCTATTAAAGTACTGCTGTATCAGACTTTGTGATAAGGAAATTCAGATGCTTACAAACCCTACGTTAATTTATAAAATGACTAGTCAAGGCTTTTTAGTGCAATACATCTTGATAAGGCAATTCCCGGAATCGGATGTTTATAAACCCCACGTACATTTATACAATCGCTAAAAAAGGCCATTATGTATTTATGCAAACATTATTCACTGCCGTTAAAAACATCTGCTGATTCCTGGAACGTCCTTATCGACATTGTGAACAGAAAATTCCAGGTAATTTGATTTTTATAAACCCTACATACATCGATATAATGATTAATTAAAAGATTTCCGGAAAGGGATGTTTACAAACTTTATGTACTAGGTACATTGATATCATGACTAGTCAAGGTCGTTCTGTATTAATGCAAACATTCACTGCCGGTAAAAACATCTGATTCCTGGAACGTCCTTATCATAAGTATTTACTGCAGCTGTACAGGTGACCGGTGAAGGTTATTTTAAATGTGTATTATAGGGTAAGGGGTCTGTGCTAGACTCCGTACGCGTGGATTGTCAAAAGAGTCTTATTGAAGAATCGTGTGACGTGTGTGTGTGTGTGTGTGTGTGTGTGTGTGTGCGTGCGTGTGCGTGTGCGTGTGTGTGTTTGTGCGTTTAAAATTTACACTTAATTACGGAAACAGATATACATTTTACAATCATGAAAGTTCATGTGTGTTGGTAGTTTCATGTTTAAAGTTAAAAACCTTTTGGTTCAACACAAAAGATTCAGTCGCAGTCAAAAGCTCTAGGTGAGAGAAATCTTTTGTGTTGGACCAAAACAGATATACATTTTATCTGCTTTTGAAGATGGAAGTAGTACCATGCCATGTCTCTAGTATGATTATAAAACTACGCACGATATTCTTTTCATGCTATGCATATGATGGTGCTGCCGTTGGTACTTTAGTGACTTTTAGAGCATTTCGATTTTTTCCATCCGTATCACAAAGATAGAAAGTTCGAGCGGTCACACAGGAACTTTGGTTACTGCTTCTAGGAACTGCGGATAAGACCTTACTTCAAAATAGAATCTACACCTGTCCGAGCTCCACGGTTGTTTTTCTCACCAAACTGTAAACATCAGAACGACATAAAAGACGACCGTAGCTGGACTGAGTCACAGACATCTGAAGACAAGCTACACGTGCAAGTTCTCTCTCTTCTCTCACCGACGAACTCTCATCATGAAGACCGCTGTCCTGCTCGTTGTGCTGGGGCTGGTAGTGGCTGAGGGTAAGAACTCTTTCTTCAAGTTACGTGTCAATGTCTTGTAATGTGTGGCCTTATTCATTGCACTAAAACTAAATATCGTTTTGTTTTATCTTTTATTTCCTTAAGTGTGAACAAAGGTCCGTTTGGAATTGTTAAAGTTACGGGGGTTAAATCGCTTCTACCTTGCCTGTCTGTTTATTTGTTAGTCCTACCTAGCCTAACTATGCAAATTAGTATGACCTTTAATTTATGTTTCCTATGTTTTTGTCCATAAACGCCGCGGTGATTAGCAAAAGGCATAAAAAAATATTGAATGATTCGTCGGTGCTTTGAAATACTCAATTCCCACAACGCCCCATTTGTACGTAAATTGATAATGGTTTAACGTCTGTTAGCATTCTCCTATGTTCTGAAATTGGGACTTTATTGTGATATTTTCGTACAAACTGTCACCATAGAAAATATAAGTGGACTTTATTTGCAAAATCATGGCCAAACGCTAATTGCTTTTACAGTCGGTAGAATAGTATTCCCTAGAAAAGTTAATTCACGGTACTATTTTAACTAATACTATTATAAAGCATTAATAAGCAACAAGTATATACTATATTAGAAAGAACGTATAGACGAATGATCTATTTTGACATGAGTATGGTTCCTAAACTATGATAACCGTTTGGCTCTGTTCCAGCCAACGTGATCCATGTAAGACGTGACAACGAGAAGTCGACTGGTTCGGAAAGGTCCATCCCGTGCCCAACAGGCGCACAGTGCTACTCCGGCAACTGTGGTGTCCTGGTGTCGTTTGGGTCCCAGGCCATATGTTGCTGTGGAGGGTCCGATATGACTGTTCACGGCAGTCTCAACTTGGCCAATCTCTACGGGACTCAGTGTACCTGCAGCTAGTAAAACTCTTTGACCTGGTATGCTTTCGTCCTACTATATATTTAAAAAAATGTATGTTAGCACAATTCTTACATGTGCATGTTTAATTACTTTATTTGATATATTTGTATAGCGCAGGATTTAACTGTATATTATAAAAAATTTAATCTCCTTCATCTGGTTCTTTGGCCTTACAGATGCACGTCAAGGGCACGTCGAATCATCTGATATTTGGGTGTCTCCCACTACAGGCTGCCGACGTTACAATGTTATGTCTATCTATCTTTTAATGTGAATAAATCCACCAAACGGTCTTTTATTGTGTCTAATGTGTTTTTGCATTAAACTGGCTTTGACTCTAAGTCAACGTCTTCATATCACGTAATGCTTGAAAACCTTCTGTTGTCGGCCGTAGCATGACGGCATGAGAAGTATTGCTATTTGATATCTTTTGCTAATCCTCACCAAGATTCAGAGGGTATACAAGCATACTAGGACAACACCCACACCATATAAGAGAGCAAAAGGAACTGGGTCCGTCAATGACCGCGATTTCATAGAAAAGTCATTTTTCCAGCAGGAAGCCCGAAACTATGTTAGTTTTGAAAACATGTGCACGGTGCAACGGTGCAACGCAATTAACTAAGGTCAACAATAACTCCTGACAGCCTGCCTGACTGCAGAAATAGAAGGGTTCAGGTGTGGCCGTTCACGTCACTTTCCAAGGGTCACAAGTCCAAACACGTGCAGCCTGACCCAAAATACATACCACTCTGTTTGCTCAATGCTCGCTAGTTGAACACACCGGTACCACTATGTACTATGATGGGATTGCCGTACTGTTTACACAGGCCCTGTGCTATACACACAAATGTTTCAAAAAGGGTTGCACTTTCCACTTGTCCATTCGGATATTCTAGTTAGATGACTTTGAAACTTTGAAACTTTATTAGAATAACCATTAGCGGTGGACCCTAGGGTCCACCGCTAGTCTTCCTGGTATTCATACATGTACATACAGACGATACATTATACAAACATAGTGGAGAACTGGTCAAGTCACAAACATATCTAAAACAATAACATATTTACAATATACATAATTCTAAAAAACTGACAATCCTGTTGAACAGTGCTCGTGACCTACTGATGGAGGTATTTGTGCAAACCCTCCTTAAAGACTCTCAGGGATTGTGTGGATTGCATAACAATTGGAAGGTTATTCCACGCACTAACAGCCCTGTACATGAAACACTTCTTCCGTGCGTTAGTTCTAGGTTTGTCTAACAGAAAAGACTGTTTAGCAGCAAAACAGGTTCTATAGCTATGCAAGTTGTTGACAGAACGCAGTTGCCTACTGATACAAATAGGTTCGTTAGTGAGTGTTATCCTTTTAAATGACTGGGTATAAATGATGGAAGAAATTTTGAATAGCACATTGAATCGAATAATTCAAGCCCCCCTTAAAGAATTTACAGGTCATCAAGGAGAAAGACAAGGGAAAGCAATGTTTTACATTGATATAACTCTAATATGAAGTGACAGATGACTAAGTTGGATAGTTATCCCTTACATTATAGGTTATGGTTTTTATTTGCATAATGAAAACTGTTGATTATCAAGATTAAAAAAAACGTTTATGTCCCGCATTCTAATGCTGGATCAGGAAAAATTATAATGAAGCCATATCTAGCAGAATGGACGTTGCATGAAAATCACACCCATTTTATTATTAAAAGAGCTTCTTCATCTACCAAACTCTATTTCTGACTTTCCCACTCATACATTCTATCTGTACAATACTGTCTCTTTGTCCATGATGCTGACCGTGATCACTTTTCTTCTCTCTCTCTCTCTCTCTCTCTCTCTCTCTCTCTATATATATATATATATATATATATATATATATATATATATATATGCATTGATATGTTGCTTAGTATAGGGACTGGGTGCATATAGGGACTGGGTGGGTGGATAAAACCGGTCCGGTAGGTTTTACTTGATTACAAAACAAAGGAAAGCACCTTGTTAATTGAACTGGTTTTCAGTCAAGACCCCCAGAAAGATAACATCGCTAACTTGGAGAATGACTTTGAAGATGAAAAACAAAGACAACAACACATGTCGTGTTTTGGTTTAATGATAAAACCGATTTATCGGCGAAACTGAGATGTAAAGGTTGATAAATCACTACTGGTTACATGTTACAGAAAAGTAAGAAAGCAAACAATACTAAGCAACATATCAATGCATTACCATCTTAATGTTCAAACCCTCACAGTCAGATTTTCTACCTCTAGTTCTAATACGAAGCAACCGTCAAGGGTTGATTTTTACATATTTGCTGTTTCTTACCAGTGTGAGTGCGCATGTGTCTCTTTAGATCATCCAACCGACAGAACTGCCTGCTGCACTCCTCACACCTGTAGGGTTTCTCACCAGTGTGAGTTCTCTTGTGTCTCTTCAGATGGTCCAGCCTACTGAACTGCCTCCTGCACTCCTCACACTTGTACGGTTTCTCACCAGTGTGAGTCCGCATGTGTTTTTTCAGACTGCCCAGCTCGCTAAACTGCCTGTTGCACTCCTCACATCTGTACGGTTTCTCACCAGTGTGAGTCCACATGTGTCTCTTCTTTCCGACTGTGCATTAAACGGTCGGCCGCACTCCTGACACGTGTACGGTTTCTCACCCGTGTGAGTCCGAATGTGTCTCTTCAGATGAGCCAGCTCACTGAACTGTCTGCTACACTCCTCATATCTGTACGGTTTCTCACCGGTGTGAGTCCGCATGTGATCCTTCAGATTACACAGCCGACTGAACCTACTGCTGCACTCCCCGCATGCGTGTTTCACCTGTGTGCGTCCGCAAGTGTCTCTTCAGCTTACTCCGGCTATGAAAATCCTTGCCGCACCCGCTACACTTGTGAGTACGCGGAGAATCCTGCTTTTCACTCTCTCCCTCCTCTTGTTCTAGGTAGAGCTCAGTTGTCGCCATTTTGATCAAACCTAGAGGAATAATATAAAATTCAACAATAGTGAATTGATTTTCATTAGAAGGCACCAAATGGGCACCATAAGGAACCCTCGGTTTTGCAATGAGACAATATATTCGACAAAAATACGTCAATAGCTTTCACAGGAAACCTGAAAACTTTCCACACTATAAAACCTACAAGTCTCTCCTGAATCTGTTTCCATGCTATTAACTTCTTCAAATGTATGGTTTGGCATGCTAATGATTCGATAGGTCAGTTTGGCATAAATAGTAAGTCGAAATTAAGAAAAAAGTCATTTTCCCACCGATTTATAATACAACCTACAAATAGAGGCCACATGGTAGTCATAGAAAATACTGGAAAATTCGACACTTACCAAGATGCACAGACGCTCCAAAATACTGCACGATGTTTTCACGACGACACAGATCCTCACGGCTACAGATAGAGTCAGTACTGACAGAAACAGAGCAGTCAGGGACGCGTTTATATAGGGACTGAGTGGGTGGATAAAACCGGTCTCGTGGGTTTTACTTCATTATGATTACAAAGGAAAGTAACTTCTTACATGTGTCGATTTGCAAATGGGAAATTCAGACAACATTAGACAAAATTACTTGGACAATAACGATTAAGACAAAAAAACATTACGTCTTTTGATTTATTGTTGAAACTGAGATCAAAGGCTGGTAACTGCATTTGACACTCTGAAATTTCTTTGGGAGCCTACTGCAAAGGTTGAAAGAAGTACATGTAAGGGCAACACCCTACTTAGACAACCTACGATTTGACACTGACCTGCATGATACTAACGAATTGCGAAGGGCCATGGAAGACCAAGTGTTATGAAGGAAACTTTCTGGATTGGTTCGAGCGGGAAAAAATTAAAAACGACAGCAATTCTAAACAATAAATACGGCACATAAAGCGCTTTATTGTTGAAAATGAGAAAATGTAAAAGTTGGCAAATCTCTAACTGTAACTCTAAGCTACCTCTAACTTTTGTAAGCAAATACTAAAGACCTAGTATAATTAAAGATGTTAAACAAGAAAACTACACATAGTCGACTATATTGACGGATAGACAATGACACTTAAACGAACAATTGACAAGTGACAAACCTGATTACCCGGCGTCAAGGCTGTGTTGTTACGGACGCCTTGTCGGACAGAGTGCCTGGTATATCAGTTTAAGCGGTTGTTTATTCTATAGTTAATACATTCAATATGAGTAAAAAAAGACAAAGAAAAATCACAAAAAGAAGAAATGTCGCGTATCCTGATTTGGAAATGGGAAATAAGACAACAACCTTTAGGAACATGAAAAAACGACAGCGATGGTGACCAATACAAATGGCACATGTACACAACTTTATTGTTAAAACTGAGATACAAAGTTGACAAATCCCTAACAACATGTAGCTTACAGAATAATACGAAATCGGACAACATTGCGACGCAATTATAACTAGTATATGAACGCAACTAAGTTGCGTTAAAACTATTAACTAAAAAAACTACATGTAGTTGACTAAAGTAAGTTCTATAAGTTCTAGCAATGACGTCTTGACGTTAAATGAACGGTGTCTTACCATTTAACTCTTGTCTAAATACTTCACTGTCGCTTTTTTTTACACACGACTTCTAGCTCTAATCAAAGTACGCTACGGGAGAGACATGGATAGTGATGTAAAATCACTGATATATATATTATTACTTTTCAGTGGTGTCGTGTAGAGAGCACACTGATGACAAAAAACAGCTAGTGGTTACATCGGTAAAAGAATAACACTATTATAACATCAAAAAACTCACAGAACCAAAACGACCCAATTCCGTTCATCAAATATCGACAAATTTTCCTACTGAAACAGTTCTGATAATGTGATGTTTAAGCAGGCATTGTCAGGCTTGTGCTGCCGTGAGTTTTTCTATGCGCATGCAGACCATTTGAATATCGAAAGCTTTTGTAGCATTTTTCACACCTGTACGGTTTCTCACCTGTGTGAATCCGCATGTGTGCCTTCAGATGACCAAGTATACTGAACTGCCTGTCGCATTCTTCACATTGATACGGCTTCTCACCTGTGTGACTTCTAATGTGTCTCTTTAGATCTGTCAGTGTACTAAACTGCTTACCACACTCCTCGCAAATGTACGGTTTCTCGCCAGTGTGAGTCCGCATGTGTCTCTAGATCTGACAGTGCACTTATATTTAATTAACGGCCGGCTGCACTCCTCACACGTGTACGGTTTCTCGCCCGTGTGAGTCCGAATGTGTCTCACCAGTGTGACTTCTTATGTGGGTTTTCAGTTCATCAACCCTGCTGAACTGCATGCTACATTTCTTACATCCGTACGGTTTCTCGCCCGTGTGAGTCCGTATGTGTATCTTTAGATTAAAAAGATGACTGAAGCCTTTGTCACATTTCTCACATCGGTAAGGTTTTCTCGCCTGTGTGAGTCCGCATGTGTCGTTTTAGATAACTCAGGTAACTAAATTCCTTGCTGCACTCGTCGCACTTGTAGGTACGCGGAGAATCCTGCTTTCCATTCCTATTCTCTTCCTCTTCTTCGTTCAAATGAGATTCAGCTCTGGACGCCATGTTGATCAAACTCGTAACCCTGCTGGGACATTGCAGTATAACATATCATACATGTGATGGAGATGATAATATAATATACGTGCGGACTCGCACACGTTACTTTGACAAATGTTTATAAACATGTCGTTACATGTAACTGATCTGGTTCATATCACTCAAAACTATAGCATATTTGCAACACTGGATATTATACAAATAAAAACCACCATACAAGACCAATCCATTAGACCAATCCATTTCAAGAAAACAAGTTAAAGCAAAATCAAAGAAAACAAGTTAATTAAGTGATATAACAGACGGATCATGCGCTTTGACGTCAAACGAACGGATTCTTACTGTCTGGCTCTGTCATTATTGTGTAAACAATCCAAAGTCGCATTTTACACACGAGTTCTAGTTCTAATGAACAGGACACGGAGCAATCTTAATTTTATAAGAGTCATGTAGAGACTGAAGCAAAACAGTAAATAAAAGATCACATTGCTAAACGGGATCTGCAAACCTCGCTACTGACTTAATATACATAACAGTAAGTTGTGTGGATCTAGAGACCTGTAGTAAACTAGCACGTGGGCAGAACGTACTGCACCTGTCCGAAACCCGTAATGTATTGTACATAGCACTTCGGCAGAACGTCTCATATAAGGTCGTATTCGCACATAAAAGGTTAACACTCCGTCTGTAGTTTCCAAATGTTATGTCGGAAAAAATATTGTCTGCAACAGGCCTAGGCAAAATTCTGATGCAACGTTGACCAAAACTCTCAGGAAAACCGCAAAAATCCAGGGTTCTGCGCATGCGCAGTACGTTCTCCCGACGTGCTTAGTAAACTGTAGTTATGCTAGATTGACTTACCAATAGTAACCTATCCCCACTGAGCACTCATTGGATCATCCCTATGAGTTATGAAGTCGCGCAACAGACGACTGACAAGTCCCGTTACATCTCCAGTATAGATAACGGGTTTGGGCGGATGTAAGAAAGAAAGTTTTCCCGTGGAAAACCCCTCCCCTTATTCCACCTCTCTTCTGTCCTTTTCCCCTTTCTTACTTCTGTCAGCCATCGTCGCTCTTCTTCGGTATGTGTTGGAAGAATCCTCTGTGTGAACATGGGGTGTTGAATTTTGTCCCTGTCAAATAGAGAGATAACATGCCAAGGGAGTTTGGTCGACCGGCTGGAGAGAACAGTTTGCCACACCCGAAGCCTGTGCGTAGTTGGTATCGGCAAACTGTTCTCTCCAGCCGACCAAACTCCCCCGGCATGTTATCTCTCTATTTGGCCGATTTCTGCTCTTTCCAGCCGCCTGCCGAAGCCTGGTAGAGGCTAGTTTGCGTAGATTACCAGGTGATATTTACTTCGCGGTTACGGTGTAGATAGTGACGTCTTATCTCCTACTTCAGTTCGCACCAATCAGACGCGTACGGGTGAAAACATTTCCTCCGCAGAACTATCTAGAACTATTTATATCGCCTGTCCCTACCGGCCAGGTGTGTGGTTCCCATGGCCTAGTTTGGCACACAGTATAAATTATTGCACACAGAACAAGCCTCACACACATCACGGAGTCTGGATCCAACTCAGCATATGGTGAACATGTGGAAGTTTCTGGTCTTCATCGCGGCTGTGGTCGTCTGGTCGGACTCGTCACAAGGTGAATATTGACTTTATATGTTTCCTATGTTGTATCATGCATGCAGTAACTGACTTCGTAATGACATCTTTGGCGACCCGTGAATCGTTATATCAGGTTTGTGACCTTCGAATGAAATTCAACTGTAGTACTCCCCAAACAGACATTAGGCCTGTTCTTTTCATAGTTTTTTTTTCGGGCGTTTTTAATCGGATTGGCTGTTTTGTTGGTTTTATTTGGTGTCCTGGTCAGGAGAAAACTATTTTGCACTGCCGCTAGGTGTCGCTACTGCAGTGTGAAGAATGGGCACGGAGCAGAATGCATACATTGGCTTAGTATTAACTCTTGGGTGTGATATTTACCCAGCTACTCTGTGAATTATCAACCTGATGAAACTAGCCATGGGCATACGACGATCGTTACTCTATTCCATAGTTGATCTCTGGCAGCCATATTGAACGTTATCGTTAATTTGATTATGTCCAGGAAATGAAAATAATGAATCTTTCGCTTAATAGGTCAACCCGAGTACCTGACCACTGTCGATGGATGGTCCTTTTTCAAAGTTCGCGCGGTTGGAGCTATGTCTAATACGAAGGTCAAGGCCACTTGTGAAGCGACGGGGTTGAGATATCCGTGCCACAACTCAGGTACGGATAGGTGTACCTACTACTGGACCTCAGACTGCATCGCGTACGACCCAGCCGTTGTCAGCTGTTATACTACCCACCAGGTCCTGTCGGCAAATCTGTGTGGAACTTATGACTCTCGGTATTGCCAGCCCCTTGATGACACCTTTGTGTACTTCCCTGGCTGGCAGAGTGATGACAGCGCCTGGGGAGTGGACTACGAGACTCACAGCTGGGACCTGCAGGGAGCGAACTACAACAACATGTACACCCTGTGTGCAGGTAGCATTCATTTGATATACAAGCCAGACAGATTGGCTATTACGCCAAAAATCAGTTACTCTAGCAAGTGGATATGATTTTGAAAACGTCAAATAAAGTTTTTTTGACGTTTTCAAAATCATATACACTTGCTTGAGTAACTGATTTTTGGCGTATCGTATTACCTGGTTGTCTAACCTTCATCGACGTAGATTGGCCATTAATCGGGTGTTTTAGATTGTTGAATGTCAGTACGCACATAAAGGGTCAATATACTTTTGTGGTATTCAATAGCCAAATAGTGAAAGTGATTTTTCAATTTTCCATGTCTACAATATATTTTGTTTTTTAACAATATATCTAGTTCATCAACAACAAGTGGGGACAAGTTACCACAGATTATATTTAAAAAAATGCTATTTATGTAACTACAGTAGATGGGTAGGTACCAGTTTTTTAATGAAAGTTAAACTAAATATGAGTTGTGTATTTAACATAGTGGACTTGACTAAGTTATGGTGCCCTAACGACCCTAAACTAGGTCACTGGATAGCTGAAGTGAGGAATACATGTATTATCATATTAGATATTGGTGACTGCATGGAAACTCAAAAAATTGGTTTGTTACAAGGCAGTTTCTACCTTCGTATATTTAAAAGTTCACAGGAATACGGCCGGGGCAGGTTTCACGTTCTTCATGAGAGATGTCAGACGGGATAGAAATAGATTAGAATGTTTTTTCCCTTTTCTAGGAATGTCATCTAATAACGTAATGTTCTTGTGCAGTACATATAACTGTTGTAGTCATGTTCTATTTCAGATAGATACCAACTTGAAGCCAAATTGTAAGCTGTATTGCCATGTTGAATATTGCCAAGCCATATGTTCTAAAACACATACACTGTCTTCCGATGAAGAAATTTGTATTTGAAAAAAAATCTGTATTTTCTGCACGTATTTATTGCACTAAACATGATATTTTTAATAGACAGAACACCTGTTAAATAAGAGTACAATATTGTCCATCAATACAGATATCGACGAATGCGCGAGCAATCCTTGCTGGCTAGGAGGAACCTGCCTGGATCACGTGAACGGCTACAGCTGTGTCTGTCCTGAAGATGCCACCGGAAAGAACTGTGAAACAGGTCTGTTTCAAAATATGCTCAACTACGAAATGGTGTTTTTGCAACTTGTATGATAGCTTATATGTTTAGCCGTTTAATACACCTAAATGAAATATGATAATGCCTACGAATCATATCAAATACTGATTTGCTGTCACATGTACCCATAGATAACTCCGCCTGATTGTAAAGCCTAAGCTAACTTTTGATTATTTCTTTTCTATATATAAGTTGTTAAGTTTTATTCTATACCTATCTATTTTACTATGCTACTTATTGTTACCTACTAGTATTTGCCATACAATGTACCCTGTACAATTGTCGTGCAATAAAGTTCTTCTATCATGATCATTTGATTTGCCATCTTAATCTCTGCAAAACCAGAATAAAGTTGCGTGTTTACATATTGGTTGTTAGTTTGTTAAATCATATCGTTAACTTCGCAAGTTTCTGATACATGTTTTTTATTTAGTTTCTGTGTTGTCCTGATGTAGCTACTCTGAGAAAAAACTAGATACTTACCATTTCTCGATTCATAATATGATGAAATACAAATGCTCTACTTTTTACGAGTTCTTGCATCAAATTGCATCAAATACGACCATGCCTTAGACCTTAGGCCCTCATGTACCTTCAGGCTTATTCGCCAACAAGTTTCCATCTTCACTGGATGACAGCCGCTTCCTCAGCTTCTTTCCATGTCAGTCAAGGACGACAAACCTTTTTTTTTTATTTCAGCAACATTTGCCGGAGAATGCTACCAGTTCTCGTCCATCTCTCTGACCCACCAGGAAGCGACCCAGGCCTGCAGTACCATGAGCAGCCGCTTGGTGGACCTGAAAGACGAGCAGCAGCAGCCTTTCCTGGCTGACAAGATCGCGGCCACCTCAGCAGCTTCCAACTGGCTGGCAACTAAATCGGCACCAGTGGCCTTTTTCAACAGCAATGGATCTCCTTTCTCAGGTATGCAAGACTGATATTTTTAACGGATTAAAACAGACATATAGAATACAACACGGGGTATTCCGTATCGCCCGAGATATTGGTCCGACCGCGGGTCGGATCCGACTCGCGGGAGGGCCGGGACCGAGGGCGATGCGGAATACACCGTGTTGTATTTTATTTATGTCATACCCACCCAAGAACACACGCCTTTCAATGCATGATGAGCCAAAAGTTGGTGCCACTAAACCCTAAAATGCAACAACATCACTTCCAACGTCCGGATTCTGTATTCGAATTTTCGAAAGGGGTACACGCGGGCAGGGCGAAACGCGTTCCAACCGTTTTATGGAAGCCATGGAAGCGTTCGATAACGGGTTCCGGACCGGGCCGTACCGTACCGTAAAGTACGGCCCGGTCTGGAACCCGTTATCGAACGTTATCGCGGCCCGGGTATGATATAATACAAGTTACACAATAATTACACCTTAACCTAATGAGGGCAATGAAGATTATGATCAGGAACCGATTTTTTGTCTAATTTTTTAACGAAACTAAACAAAACTTCTAAATAATTTGGTCAATAGATCAATCAGTGCTTTGCCGTTTTTAAAAACGTCAACACAAAGAATTAAGCCTAGACGGGGGGGGGGGCTAAAAGTGCTCGCGCCAACTTTGATGTCGGCTATATATTAATCATATGTATAGACGTTTTCATAATAGGCAATAAAATCACATGAATGACGTCTTAATGACGTCATCTTACGTCATAATGATATGAAAATTCTTGTTATGATTTATTATTACTAGTAAACCATCCTTTAAAATTTGGTGGCCATACGATATACTGTTCACGACTTCTGAGGGGGAGGGCGAATGAGTCCCACGAATCCAATGAAAAAAACAGTCTAGATATGGTTAAAATGTTTCAGCTTAAATATTGATACTGATGACAGGCCCGATCCAGTGGTCTTCCAGCGAACCTGCCGAACCGTGTGACCTGTGTGTTCTCCTGGACAGCTCCGACAACTATCTGGCCAAGACAGCACCGTGCACGCAGCAGCACAACTACGTCTGTCAGGATGGTAAGGCGCTTTTGCTACACATAAACATTCTGCATTCTCAGAATAGAAGGCAACGAAAAAACTAATTGTGTGCTTCAAAACGAAACGGGAAAGCACAAAATTTAAATAAAAGTGTGTTTTATTTACACTCTAGATTCAAATGCAATTGAGGAGGAACCATTTTTCGCTCTTCTGTAAATCATTTTCCATCCTCAGATTTTGGTGTAAATGTGTTCAATTTTCGGTTACTTACAAATGTAGATGTAAGGAAGATAAAGCACAATATTGTATCTTTTGCTTGTCTAAGATCTTAAACCATGCGGACAAAACGTGTGTCAGAACGGCGGAAACTGCACCTCCTGCTTTGACGACTCCGCCGCCTTTTGCGACTGTCCTGACGGGTTTGACGGCAAGACTTGTGAGATAGGTACGTACTTTCTTAGTGCACAGTAGACGCTGTGTGGACTATGAAACTAGCATCTTATATTCATTCCTTACATTCATACCTTACCTCTCATCTTTGAAGAAAATACTTTCTAACAAAATGTAGATTGAATATAACAGTCCTACCAGTTTGCTATTTCACATTTTCCATAACGTTAAAGATGCGTGGACTTTTTCATTTATTGTAAGTCCTACATGCCCTAACGTTTCACGTAGATACCCGCAGATAAAATTTAACAGAACTTCGCCGAAAGTTTGCAATATTTTGTAAAATCCTGCAGTACTAACATGAAGAAAACTATGTCCTCACAAATGTCGGCCAAATACACTCCCTATCATACCGGATGTTTTCTTGAGATTATACATTGATAACATAGACAGGACAAAACAGACCTATCTATAGCTGTCACAATTTGATGACAACCGGATACTGGATTATGTTAAAACAGACATCGACGAGTGCGCCTCCAATCCGTGCCAAAATGGCGGCAGTTGTGATGACGACATCAACTCCTACAGCTGCCGCTGCCCAACCGGGTTCCAGGGAGACCACTGCGAATCTGGTAGGTGTGATGTTCTGAATCTATTTATTTACACATTTTAACGTCGAGCAAATGCAACTTTATCGATTTCTTTTTTTTTTATCTATAACACAGATATCCTACTTTTTCCTACCTTTATTCTTTTTAGACATGGACTGGTGCTCCCAAGTCCAATGTCCGCACGGCTGGGTTTGTCAGGACTTCACGTTCTACTTCCAATGCGTTCGTGAGTAAATGTTTCCACCATTTGAAACTGTCTTTGCATCTGATTTATATCATTTTAAAATCTAATATACCTAATCTGCTATATCTAATCAATGCTGACTAAATGGCATTAAGTCTGGCATTTAGTTTTCAATGTTTGAGTTACCGACATTTAAAGCTTTCAATTAGATGATTGATGATTGTGATGATCAAATACGTAGGTTACTGTTCCTTAGTAAGGCTTAGGACATTAACCCTACAGATTATTTACTTCATTATTATATTTAAATGAAAGACTGGTTGCAAAATTTCCGATGTTTGATATCCACCTGCAGATCCTGATCCCGTAACCAGCAGGATGGCCCCCTACCAGTGCAGCAGCGCCTCCTGTCCGGACGGCATGTACTGCACCGAGGATGGCGTGGCGTCTTTCTCCTGCAAGGCTGTGTGACGTCATGGCCAAAACGTCATGCAGGCAACAAACAGCCAAATGCTGACAGGCGTGTCTTTCAACAGGCTTTCTCCTCATTCTGATTTGCTTAAAAATGACAGAAAATGACAGAAAATAAAGTGCTACAAAGATCATATTCTTGCCCTCATTCCTGACTTTTATACCGATTCATAACTGTACGTAACCGGTACACAACTTGGTAAATAAAATTGTACGGCTGTGTTTTTGTGGTCTGTTTGCCAAGAGGTGCTGAAAAACCGAGTGAGCTAACAGAGCTAAATGCATAAATTATGGAGGAAATCGTTCATACCTAACGACTATGTTTATTACTTTATAACATGTCACATACATGTACTAGTTTGTTTGTTTGTTTGTTTATTTAGGAATCTCAAATAAGATGCGCTGGTATTGATAAATACATTTCAAAATTCTTAAACATTTATCATTAGTTCCTGCTTAAGAATCATGAAAGTAACAAACAAAACATCAATTTAACTTTACAAATATACCTGCACAGCTTCGCATTGATGGAAGACTGCTGGGCGACTCTGCCAGAAAACAGACCAACCTTCCCTCAACTGAAAACCAAACTGGATAGGATTGTTCAAGCACACAAGGTAACAGTATATATATTTGCTATATATGTATATTTTTGTCCTGTGGGTCGTTTAAATTTCATGGACATATTATGCCTGTTTCCTTGGTAAAAGTAGATGAAGCTACGGAGCGTTTACCTTCTGTTTGATAGATTTACATTTGCCCGGATGCCACCGGTGCCACATCTAGTTTAAAATCATCTGAAACTAAATTACATATATATATATATATTTATATGCTGTTCAGATGTACTAACCTGCATCTTTTTGTCTCGACAGCCGTACGCTTCATTACTTCATGAATAAGAGTGAATGTGAATTGAAGCGAAGCGAAGAAACCCTGCTGGTCATGATCAACAGGGTGGCAACTTTCACATCTAGTCCTAGTTATGCGAAGTTTGAATATTATATCATATAATACAATATAATATAATATCATATCATAATTTTGGATAAGAGGAAGTGAATTATCTATGAGATCGGTCTCTTATACGATCTAATGCTATCCAGACAAGGATAACATACTGATGAGTATGTTATCCAACTTTCTATACTATATATTATTGAAATATTCCAACTTTCTCCCAATTTAACCAGCTAAATATTCCAACTTTCTCCCAATTTAACCAGCTAAATAACTATTAAGTAGATTTTGATATTTTTATACTTAACTGGCACTGCATATGTAAATAGCAAATGTCCTTTCTTGGATTAACAACTTTTAAGAGCCTTGGCCACCATGCATTCATATCGCTGCTACAAATACATGTATATTGTAAATGTACTTTCAATTAAATTGGTACGCCTTTTTTCGCAAATAAGTTTTTGATGAGCGTCATTTTTTCAATCAGAAACATGCACGAGATGAACAAAGCTGGAATCCAATAGTTTCATATGAAAGGTTTGTTTACAACCTGCTAGAAGCGCCTGAGTCATATAAAGTGTCACATGTGTCACGTACCTTTGCATTGGCTTGACTAAATAAATCGGCGCTCGCTTGCTGAAGGTTAATTATTCCGTTATAACCGTTCAGACCAGGTCTTTCATCTTAACATAGTGTCATTCGAAGCCATATTACGAGGCCACAAGAGGAAGTAACTGTCGCAAAAAGGGAAAGGGAACGCGTTGTCTGATTTTTACCTCCATGGTCATGGATTTACCAGATCGTATACGTAGATGTTCGCGTTAGGGAACTAGTAACTTTTAAAGTCGAGCACAATTCAAAATGTCATTTCGAGTCTTGTTGTTTATTTATTTATTTATTGAAAATGCAACAGGACATTACACTGACTCTCAAGGCAGCAAAGCTGATATCAGAGAGTCAACATATAAGGACAAAACACAAAAACCACATAATTTCAATACAATATGAAATACAAGAACAATCATAACCTAAACTAACCTGTATCAATCTGATTAATTAAGTACATATATATACATAATAAAAATAATGCATTTGGAGGTCAGAGGTCCAGAAAAAAAAATATATACAGTACTACCTCATAAGAGAAAATTGGTACATAAATAACAAGGCTAGGAGGAACAGCTGGAAGTGCCTAGAAACGGTTTGTTGAAGTGATGTAGGTGTGGAAGGCATGTGAAAGGCTTTTGTTTAGTGTAATGTCATTGTCAATGTCATTGTTGTTTGGAGCCATTCTGACCTGTGTGACCAGGCTTTGTCAGATGAGTCATTCTTATTATAACACGTTAGTTCAGTTGTGTGGGAATCGGTCATAACCACATTGTATCTGCGTATTGTAACGTCACCGCTATAGGTACATGTTTAAAGTTCTGGGTCGGAGTATGCTTAAAGTAAGTGCTCGGTAATGCGTCCGAATTGCGTGGTTGTCACGCCGCCAAGTTTCGCTCCCTATTGATGATCCTTAAGCTTAAACATGTACAAATTGTTTTTGAATTTACCGAAAACCTGTGGATTGTAGTAGGCGAAGTAAAGTTTCAGGCGAAGTAAAGTTCGTTAAAAGAAACTCCTGCCCGAGACCATAGCATCCAATCGTTTCTGAAAATGGGACCTGTCCTTGGTGCTGAAACCTTCATTAGACGCACATCTCACAACAAGCTAGAATCTTTCGTTATCTTTCCGTTATCTAGTGCTAAATGAATGAGGTTTTAAATTAATCTTTTGACTGTTTCTTTTGTACAAAATTTTACGGATTTGTACAAAGGCTGTAGATCAGTAATTTCGATTCTTGAATCGCTGATATGTACTACTTAATACATGTACATTCTATGCGAGTTGAATAAGAGTAAAGATATGCTGTAAAATGACACCATCATTTCTATAGCCACCATCATTTCTATAGCACGCATTGTGTTTTTATCCACCTTTTTTTTACAATTTGACAGTTTTTCAGTGGTCCCTAAAGTCGAACTATTCAGTGAGGCATTTAGCGTCGTGGCAATGTTCGGGGTGCACTGCGTTCTCCATAGATACACCGCCTCATCTGCATCGACTGTTCATGGTAGTCGTTCGCCTTTACATGATCACCAAGTCGACTCCACACGTTGCTCAAGTTATTAAGTGAAATAGCCATGCTAAGATGGGCAGTCCCTTCGCCATAGATGACCCGTTGCATTTGTAGAGCCCGTTCGTAAAAGCTTGCCGCCTTTCTGTAATCACCGAGGTCTCTCCAGACGGTACCCAAGTTGTTGAGTGACGCAGCGATGTCAGGATGTGCGTTGGTTTTACCATAGACACTAAGCCTCATCTGCAGTGACTGGTTGTAATAGGTGACGGCCTTTTTCATGATTACCAAGGTTCTTCCAGGCGATACCCAAGTTGTTAAGAGAGTGGGCGATGTCTGCATCGGCTGCACTTTCCCCGTACAAAACGCGCCTCATTTCTAACGCCTGTTCATAGTAGCTGATGGCTTTTTCGTTGTTACCAAGCCCAAGCCAAGCGTTACCTAAGTTGTTGATTGAAGCAGCAATGTCAGGATGCGGAGTATTTTTGCCATAGATAACCTTGCTCATCTGTAGAGATTGCTCAAAACAGCTGGCCGCCTTTTCGTACTCACCAAGGTCCCTCCAGGTGTTCCCCAAGTTGTTAAGTACATGGGCAATGCTGGGCCTTGTGGCATCTTCACCATAGATGATCGCGTTCATCTGCAGCGATCGCTCATAATAGCTGATGGCCTTTCTTGTATCACCAATCATTCCCCATGCTGTTCCCAAGTTAGTCAGTAGGTCGGCAATGTCAGGATGCGCAGTGTTCTTGCCATAGATACGCTGACCCATCTGCATTGACTGTTCAAAATAGTTGACGGCCATTCTGAAGTCTCCCAGCTTAACACACGTGGCACCTAAGTTGCTGAGTGACTGAGCGATGTCGGGATGGGTAGTCCTCTCCCCAAGTACAATCAACTTCATCTGTAATGCTAGCTTAAGGTAGCAGGCGGCCTTTCCGTTGTCCCCCAGGTCGCCCCAGGCGTTGCCCAAGTTGTTCAGTGAATGGGCAATGTGGGAATTTACAATGCCATAGATACCTAGTAACATCTGTAGTGAACGTTCATGGTAACTGATGGCTTTTCTGTGGTCACCAAGGTCCTTCCATGCGCTACCCAAGCTGCTAAGCGACTGGGCAATGTCTGGATGCAGAGCGCTTTCACCATACAAGCTCCGCATCATCTGTAGTGCCTGTTTATGATAACCGACGGACTTTCCGTAATCGCCAAGGTTCCCCCAGGCGACGCCCATGTTGTGAAGTAACCCGGCGATGTCGGGATGTGCCGTGCTCTTTCCAAGGACACTCTGCCACATCTGCAGTGACTGCTCGTAATAGTTGACAGCCTTTCTGTAGTCACCAAGCTCTCCACTGCAGTTACCCAGGTTCATAAGTGACGATGCAATATCAGGATGTTCAGAACTCTCACCGTAGACAACCAGCCTCATCTGCAGTGCCTGTTTATAATAGAAGATTGCCCTTTTGTGATCACCAAGCTCCTGCTTGGCAGCACCTAAGTTGTTAAGTGCTGAGGCGATGTCAGGATGTGCAGTGTTTTCACCATAGACACGCGCCCTCATCTGCACTGCCTGTGCATAAAATATTACCGCCTTTCTGTAATCACCAAGGTCCCTCCACGCAATGCCCATGTTGTTTAGCGACATGGCGATGTCAGGATGTGCAGTGCTCACGCCATAGATACTCCGCCTCATCTGTAGCGATTGTTGGTGGTAGCTAATCGCCTTTCTGTAGTCCCCCAGGTCTCTCCAGACAACACCCAAATTGTTAAGTGAATTGGCAATGTCTAGATGTTCCATGTCCTCACCATAGGCGTGTTGCTTCATCTGTAGCGACTGTTCATGATAGCTGATGGCTTTTCTGTGATCTCCGATGTCCCTGTAGACAGTACCCAAACTATTAAGCGACTTGGCAATGTCGGGGTGCGAGGTGCTCTCACCATAGACTCTACGCTTCATCTGTAACGACTGTTCGTGATAGCTGATGGCCTTTGTGTAATCACCAAGGTTACTCCATGCATTACCCAAGTTTGCAAGTGACCGGGCAATGTCGGAATGTGCGGTGTTTTCACCATTGATAAGGAGCCTCATCTGTAGTTCCTGTTCGTAAAAGCTGACGGCCTTCCTGTGATCACCGAGGTTCATGGACACATCGCCCAGCTTTTTAAGTGAATGGGCGATATAAGGTTGCATGGCGCTCTCTTCGTGTTTAGCTCCATCATTTTGTAGTGCGCGTTCTTGGTACATCTTTGATTTCTGGTAATCACACAAATTCTCGAATACGTCTGCCTTTAGTCTCAAAGAATTAAGAAAGAGAACTGGTGGCTCTTCCGGTGGCTGGTCGTTGACAAGTTGTGAAATGAAGAGCTTCAATGGAATTGCTGTGTAGTAGTATCTCATAAGTTGTGTTGTATTTGAGACATAGAACACTCTCTTTAGTGTCTCCGTGATGTCGGTGTCCTTTGACATTGACGATAAAGCTGACATGCTTTCCGCTTGCCCACGATTATGCATGTATGTTCTAAGTCCCAGTTCTGCTGAGATGCTGACCATGACCATCAAGTGATGTGCGTTCGTTTCGTCGATGACTGAGTTTTCCTTAAGCTTCTGAATAGTGTCCCAGATCGTGGTCGGCTGTATGCCATGATACAATGCCAAAGATTCCATGGCAAGGCTCGCAAAGCGATATATTTCCTTCTTCACGTTCAGCAAAGTGGCAGTTGGGGCATTGATTTGGAAAGTTGGTGCATTCTCTGTAGCTGTCAGGGTATTTTGGGCTATCGATAATGGAATCGATCCATCGTGTTCTTGCAGGTGTTGAGTCCACAAAGCTGTATACTGGTCGATCAAGTCCTGCTCTCCTGTGATAAAGCACACATTGCCCAATATGTTTGCAAGATGGTAGCCTTTCTTTAAATGTAGCGTAAGGTCGTCCTTCAGAAGTTCGGCCATCTTGGCCGGCGTACGGATAAGTTCACTCGTTCCCGTACCCAGTGGGGTTTTACACGCCTTCGGCATGGCTCCATCGAACGCGAAGCCTCGCGGTGTGACAGAGTCGTAGTACCAGTTGTCCAGTGGGTCGTTCGAGTGGAAATCATTCAGTGATTTAATCGCCATGGCCGGTAGGATAGTTTCACCGAGACTGATCACTTTCAGATGCAGAAAATGGGTGAGATGGCGGAAATACGTGAGATTACTTTCTGTTTCCTCCTCGACCAAAATAGCAAATTCCAGATCAGAGTATGGGGTGACCAATCCCGTGGCTTGTGAACCCAGGCCTATCATAGCGTACTTACAGGAAGGGGGACCCATTACCTCCATACATTCCTCTACAAGACCAGAAATAAACGTTCTCCGCTTTTGAACAATGGTCTGAAACAACCCTTTGACTGCTTCCGCTCTGCCTTTCTCCACTTCTCTTATCTTTGGGTCTTCCTCGTCGAGGCAATAAGGATCTACTTGTTCCTCGATCGTTTTGAGCTCCTTTTCGGCATAAGCTCGATTTTCTCTCAAGAGCAACTTGTGTTTCTCTACACCATCCATGTCCATTGTTTCATCTGATCTTAACACATGCTTAACAAATGATTTCGATATTTCTAGCATTGATTGTTTGATATTCTCGTTGTCCTCTGTTGTAGACCTGACCAGTGCCGCGTTACAGAGTGCAGCAGCCTTGGTGAAGTCGCCTCCGTCTTTTGACTGCATTCCTCTTGTTAGGTAGACTTCACTCAGCCTGTTTAGGGGCTCTGTTTCTTTCCAGCTCTCATCTGTGTTTGGATCTAAACAATAAACCCGGAAAAGTCATGAGTTATTTTATGTCGATCCTTAGTCATTCATAAACCCTTTAAACACTATCTAGTATGGTGACATGAAACGCATTTTGCATCTTATAATGATACTAATAATAATACGACTAATGATAATGACAATAATACTAAAAATACTAATGAAGATAATAATGCTAATAATAATATATTGATAATAATAATAATAACAATATACAAATTTGCATTATATACATGTGCTTACGTCTCTAGATATCCTGCTATATAGCGTCTAATTATAATGCAGACCGTGGTGTAGATAATATAATGATACATGGCAGTAGCAAACATTTGGGTTCAGCTTTACTAGAATAGTCTTTGTGTTACCTTGCTACAC